ATTAGGCAAGATAGATAACTCGTCAATTTGTCAAAGTTGGACGATAATCTTGCATGGTGGGCTGTTGTGTTTACATAATTCAAAGTCCAAGGCTGCTTCTTCTCTGACATCAAAATGTGCATGCTTAGGGCCTTTCTGTCAATCATTCTTCGGTATATTTCGCGCGGTTGAGTAATGATAACATTACGTCATCAAAATCTTGGTTCAATAAAATTGTAAGTGAATTTAGTTTAGTTGGTAAAGTAAGGTTCACATAGGTATAGTTTGAAGTTTTTACTATGATATTTTGATAAGTATTTTAAGTTGTGAACATGTTTTAATGATGATCGATTGAACAGCGAACCAACTCGACCAGTGCGACAACGCCTTAAATAAACAGAATTTGAGGGCTGGAACGAGCTAGCAACGCCAACCCACACTTTTAAACTTCAACGTTGATTGGCTGGATACAAATCACACCACTTGCTACATCACGTGTACAAAGATCCCTCAACCGTTAGTATAAAAGTGCGTGCACAACCGCGAGACTCGCCAGTGGATGAATTCTCAGTGGATGATCTTTCAGTGGACAGTGGACTATAGAGTGAACTAAAGTGAACTTTAGGAAACTACTACGAGAAGACGAACATTAAGAACTGATACTTATTTAAGATTGTTGTAACGTTTCACTACACTACCTATAAATAAAGCCTCGTAACAATATCTTCTACAGGCAAGGATGTTCTTTGTAACAAAGTGGCATCCTGTCTTAGTCTTTTTGCCGCAACCTTGATGGCAAGATCAACTGGGATATTTGTAAACAAGGAAACGACATCAAATGATACCAACACTTGATCTGCTTTAAGAGTTTTACCTCTCACAAATTCTGCAAAAGACAGGAGTTTTTGACAGTGTTTTCGGTATTCCCCACCACAGGGGACAAAATTTTTGCCAAAAAACTTGAAACTCCATATGTAGGAGAATTCACAAAGGACACAATAGGTCTCAATGGAATTTCAGGTTTATGGATTTTCGGGAAGCCATAGAAACGCGGAGATAGTCCATCACTGTTGTATAACTTTTCATATGTCGCCTTGCTGATAATATGAAGTCCTATGGATCGAAGAGTTTTGTCGTTCGCAATTTCGCAAAGAGTCGATCAAACAGAGAGAGAAGCATGACAAAAAATTGCTGCGTCTGATTGGAACGAAACCATCTGATAAATCAGGCTCGAATCTTAAGAAGAGATGGGTTAAAAACTTCTCATCTAAAGAGCTAAGTGAGTTGGAAAGGAAGGGTCTTGAACACGGCCTAAAATTTGCGGTTGTACCGAACAGAATTCCAACAGCCGAAATCATTGCTTCAGTGGAAGAAGGAATTTTTCCACTAGACGATGATGCTAAGCGATTGGTTAGAGCGGAGGTCAGTAGCATTCTTAGACGCGCCAAAATACCTCCAAAAAACATTGATTCGAATGTTTTCAAAGCTCTACTTGCTCTTAAAAAAGATCCGGACAGGGTTATTCTTTCAGCGGACAAAGGCAATTGCGTTGTTGTTATGGACAAACATGATTATCCCGAGAAGGCTTTTTCACTGTTGAATGACAGAAATACGTATTCTATTCTCAAGTCTGATCCTACTGGAAAGACTCAAAGAGGTTTAAACGCCAAGTTACTTCTTTTGAAGAAATCCAATATTATCAGCAAGGCTACGTATGGAAAGTTATACAGCAGTGATGGACTATCTCCGCGTTTCTATGGCTTACCGAAAATCCATAAACCGGCAATTCCATTGAGACCTATTGTGTCCTTTGTGAATTCTCCTACATATGGAGTTTCAAGTTTTTTGGCGAAAATTTTGTCCCCTATGGTGGGGAATACCGAAAACACTGTCAAAATCTCCTGTCGTTTTGCAGAATTTGTGAGAGGTAAAACTCTTAAAGCAGATCAAGTGTTGGTATCATTTGATGTCGTTTCCTTGTTTACAAATATCCCAGTTGATCTTGCCATCAAGGTTGCGGCAAAAAGACTAAAACAGGATGCCACTTTGTTACAATAAACATCCTTGCCTGTAGAAGGTATTATTGATCTTCTGTCTTTTTGTCTTAACGCCACATACTTTGTGTTTGAGGGCTGTTATTATCAACAGGTTTTTGGAACAGCGATGGGGTCACCAGTTTCGGCAGTAATTGCTAATTTAGTAATGGAAGATGTCGAACAAAGAGCTTTAGCCTCTGTTCCGGTGTCCCTATCGTTTTGGAAACGTTTCGTCGATGATGTCATCTCTGCGGTTTCAACAAATGAGATCGATATTCTGCTGCAACATTTAAATTCTATTGAGTCGTCCATCCAATTCACGGTAGAACGTGAGATAAATAGACATTTAGCTTTTTTAGATTTGAATGTACACAGAACTGTCAAAGGGAAGTGAGAGACTAATGTTTATCGCAAACCCACACACACAGACAAATACTTGTCATACGACTCTCATCACCCAGTAAGCCATAAAAGATCCGTAGCAAAAACTTTACTTCAAAGAGCTGAATCGTTGCCGTCAAACAGTAATTCTCAAGCTAATGAACGTGAATATGTTCTAAATGTTTTAGGGGAAAACAATTACCCAAAGCGTTTTCTTAATGATTGCCTGAGACCACCTGTTTGTAGGAAGTTAGGAACCAAAATAACTCCGAGGGTGATACCTCTGTTAAGGGTTTTGCAATAGTTCCATACATTCAAGGTGTCACAGAACCAATCAAGAGAATCTTAAATAATTGTAATATTAAGGTTGCCTTAAAACCCTATTTGACTTTAGGCCATATTTTCGCAAAGCCAAAAGATCCTGTTGAAAAAAATCAGAAGACTCATGCTATATATTCTATACCATGCGGTGACTGCGACAAAGAGTTTTTGGGTCAGTCTAAACGCCAGTTTGGTACACGGCTAAAAAAACATCAAAAGGCTGTTTCAACTTTAAACAAGGGAAAATCAGCTTTAGCCGAACATGTATGTTACACCAAACACGAGATTGCGTGGGAAAACTCTAAAGTAATTACCACAAACAATCGCTATGATCAAAGACTTTGCCTAGAAGCGTGGCATATAAATATGAGTCATCATGCTTTGAATAGGGATGACGGCGCCTATTTGCCAGAGGAATATATGCATCTTCTTGGCAGGTGACGTCATCACTTGGGTATTTAAGAAGCCACGATCGCAGTTTTAGATCACCCCTGATGAAGACACTAGACTGGAGTGTCGAAACGTTGGGTCTTGATTACAATTCGACTGGGCTTTGTAATCATTTATTTAAACCAGAGTAGCGAGCGAAACATGATTGATATACCTGGTTAGAGTGAACGAACAAACTTTATATCTTTGTATATTCTTTGCATATTTTTATTGAACCTCTTTTTTCATACCGTATGAGATGGTGTTCAAGGTTCCTCATTTAATATGGGATTTGGCAGGGGTGTAGTGGTATACCAAATACCTTGTAAACATGAAAACACCCAAAAAGACACAAAATCTAAATATACCAAATACATATAATTCAGTGTAAATATACCATATACCTGAATTATTAAGAACCCATTAGATACCTTATACCCAAAACTCCTGACCGACCCCATCTGTGTCAATCCTAAATGTATAATATTGATGTTTCAGGTTGGCATTCGTGTTCCCCCGGCGAATACACCTGCGAGTACACCTGCGAATACACCTGCGAATACACCTGCGAATACACCTGCGAGTACACCTGCAAGTACACCTGCGAATACACCTGCGAATACACCTGCGAATACACCTGCAAGTACACCTGCGAATACACCTGCGAACACACCTGCAAAATCTAAATCAACTCCAGTCTGGGTTATCATTGTCGCTGTGCTAGGTGGAGTCTTGTTGCTTGCTCTCGCCATTTTGGCTTCTTTGTTTAAGGTGACTGATATAAACATTTTAATAATAATAGCAATTGAGAAGAAAAGTGTTTTGTACAGATCAAAACTTTATTTTGATAGCCAGTGTGATTTATTTCAAAATCTTTTTCCAAGTATGTATTTAAAATTAGACAATGTCTACAAAATGTAAGAAGTTATGACGCCAATTTTTATCACTCTTACATTTTAGCTTGGTTTCTTCAAAAGAAACCGACGTATAGAAGTCTTGCAACCTGGTTTTCAAATGAATTAATTTGGTAAAGATTAAAATTATAGACGAGAGTCAAGTCAAGTTAAGTTTAGAAATTATTAATTTACTGCACGTTAATTTTTCCAATTTTGGAAGTGATATGAAAGTGGGTGTAATGAATGGCTCAAAACCATTGAAATTTTGATTGCATGTTTATCCTAATTTTACATAGTTTTATTTGTTGATTGTAGTTTAGTGCACGAAATTAAATTTGCATGCGTAGGTATTAATAATTTGTGATATTAGTAATGATAATTTGTAAACTTAGTAATATTAGTTAAAGTAGGAAAAAGCATTGAGAAACAGTCCAACACTTTTGGCAACTGCTGTCCTAATTGTAATTATCGAGGACTATAGTTTGCTGTCTTTAATATTTTCAATAATATAGGCAAGCTTAAAAAGAATTATCATATAGAGTTGTATGTATAGTTTTTGTAACTTTTTGTAGTACTTGTATTTTCATGTTTCTTGGAGATGTAAATAAGTCTTTTTTGCATCTAGTAACAATTGCAATTCATTTTTAAGTATGTTTCTTTGTTATTTATTAATTTATTTACAATTATTTTAAAACAGTAGCCTTTCAGCCGAAGTCTGATTTTCAAGGGGCCATTTCAGTTTACAAAAATAGTAATTCTAAAAATTATACTGTTAACGATTTGCAATGTTCAGTTGTTTATCCCCCCCCGGGATAACATGACATAAACAAAAAATTGCTTCCCGTACCAGAGCCTCTGAACCGCGCAAAGGCCGTGGGTACGAGGTTGTACTTATAGTAACAGTTGCAACCAGTCATAATTATCAATTTGCAGTATATAACTATATATCCTGGAGGGGGTGCTCCCTTCTTCATCCACCCTGATTTCTGCAACTGAATGTCGTTGCCAAGAACACCAGGTAAGCAATTTATATCCCCTATCCCATACTATATTGTCTTAAAATCAACAACAACCATATGTCATAATGGGATCTTATTTATAGCACACAATGTACAAAACTAACATAATATCCTGTTTATTGGATTTTCTTCCACGACAAAAAATTATTGCATGGATCTGGTATGCTGAATTATATCATTCTATTCAAGAACTATATGCATCGATTATACTTCTAATTTCCATACTTGCCATCATTTGTTACTGATGAATGACTTTCAATATATGACCTAATTGATATATTTACTAGGCATAAACAGTTGATTTGTGTGCCATCAACCCTGACTATGACATTTTCTAAAATGAAATAGATCAATTATAAACAGCAGAAATGTTGATGTTATGTATCAATTATGGTATAAAAGGCTTTCAAAACTCTGCAAGACTTAGTGTATATTGGCATCACCTGTCCACCTGTTATCCTGACAAATGCATCTACAATGTTCTCGCATGCCTGCTAAAGTTTATTATGAACTATCAAGAAGATTTGGTATCCGAAATGTTTTAACACGAACACAGGGATGGATTTACTAGGGGGTGGAGGGGGGGGGGCGGTGGGGGTATGCACCCCCTAGCCCTGGCCAGAGGTGGTACAGGGGGGGGGGCTATTTTTCATGATAAAGCAAAAAATTATTAGAGACAAAATGAGATACAGTAATTTGAATAATAATATGATGATAAGCGAACTGCAAACAACAATTACAATTCAAATACTGTAGTCAAGCAAGACTTTGCAGTAGTGAAGCAAGTTGATGGGCGAGCGGCACGCATGACCGACACAACTCGGCACCAGAGCTGGTAGAGCACCCCCTCCCCCACCAGATCTTGCTGGATCCATCCCTGCAAGAACATTATAAAACTAAGATGATTCAACAAGAACATCATAAAACTGAATAATTATTATCATATTTGTGAAGTTATGGCCGGAATTAATTTCTGCAAGTTGAATATATATCAGCCATTTTATTTTTTTTTCATCTGACATACTATAAATCTAACTACATTTAACTGATCAACTGAGCAGATACATGTACGCTTAGCGTACCTATTTTTTTTATTTCAGCGACGATTTCAGTGCAATTTTAGCAGTGCTAAGGTAAATTATCTTCTGTAATTGTACATGGAAAATATAAAGAAACGTTATATTTTTCACAATAGTAAAATAGGGCGTGAAACTTTTTATAAATTTGTTATTCGTGTTGTAAAATACACCGAGCTATTTGCCTATTTTTATACTAAACTATATGCCTTACAAGTTATATTTTGGAACTATCTTCCTCAATAAGCAACTTCCTCTTAATTGCTAAATAATGATCTCACACTGGCAATTTTTATTATAATTTTTTGTAGTCTGTATACTTGTGCTATAATTGTATTACAATGGATACAAATTCATAATAAATTTTATTAGCAATATTTTAATATTGCTTCCATTGAACTGCATTCCAATATGATTTCCAAAGAAGAAAAGCACTATAAGCTTCTTAGCAACAATAGCTTTGTAACAAATATGGCAGGGCCAGGGTCACATATTGATTTGTTTTTGTTCCCCAGATCAAATTTGGCTATTCTGAATAAAACTGCTGGTATCAGAGCATTCTTTGGTAAACAACAGCACATGGATTTCTCCCAAGAGACACAGACATGCTGTATGCATGGTCTTTCAAGTAAAATCCTAGTGAATCAATATATGATCTGGAAAAGTCTTGTTCTATCTTTTTGTCTATGTTTGTGAAAACTTGTGCACAGTCAAGACAATGTATTTTTGGCATAATGAGCAATTGCCCAATGGCATCATCTTGTTGAATCACTTAGACGTAGTCTGTTGAAATATTAAGCAAAACTTCAAAAGATTTGTGTACAGTTAAGCTGTCTCAAGATGAAATTCATTTATATAGACAGTTTTGCCAAGTTATTGGCAATATAAGTATACACTAGTGAGGTGGCTTAAATAAACCTCCAGGGTTATAAATAAATGTTTTGCAATATAATAATGAACATGTAATGGTAGTGGTTTAATATGGAAATTTATTTGTAATATTGTATGTAAAATTTGCTTGGCAGTGCTACACACCCTCTGGCTCACCTTCCCCCTGGATTTTCGGCACCCCTCCAGTGCAAAATCTGAAAATCTGTCTGGTTCGAGGGCTTGCTCCCCCAGAAAATTATGAAATCTGAGACCTTTCAACCCCCAGAAATACAATCAAATTTGCTAGCAGAATAAAAAATAGGCCATATAGCTCATACGAATATGAACAAGGCATTGTAAAAATATTAAAATGTGTTAGCCTATGTAGCATTTGTTGCATTAAAATGTTCAATGTATTGTGACAAAGTTGTCGTATAAGTCAGATGTTATGTTTGGCACACTTTGCCCACCCCCCTACATTTTTAACGGAATTAAGCATCTCCCAAACGTGGTCATAAGGCAGATTGGGGGGGGATTGTTCCCCCCAATGCACCCGTGATTATCATCATTATGCCTCTACCATATATATGACAGAGATTTATTGGGAAAATTGTATGTTTTTTTAATTAACTTGTTTGCCAAATTCTTCAAATTAAATTATTTATAGATGGATCCAATACACTAGAATTGGCATTTTCTAACATTTTCAGCAGCTGAACTTAAAACACAGTCATCACAGCTACATTTCTGTTGATGAAAATCACAGCAAGTATGCTCTGGTTTAATCCTCTTTGCTAGTTTGTAACCAAAGTAATTCAGAATTATTTCCCTTTTGCATTTATCTGCCACAGCTACAATTAGCTCTTTCATGCGGGGTGAAATGTTAAAAGATGATGAGTTGTAGTATATTGTGGAAGATGCTGGAAGTCCATCTCGTCCACATCTACCAGCTTCTTGAAAATACTCTTCAATTATACAAGGGACTCCAATATGAATAATCCTACGGATGTCATGCACGTCAACACCAATCCCTAAAGTCAAAGTGACAAATAGTAGTCTTACTTGGACTGACCATTTACAAGATCCTGTACAGTAGGGTTTTTTTCAAGATTTTCTCTTGGGTCCGTTTTTGCAGAAAAGATTGAGTTTAGCTGAACAACTGGGGTGGCTGCACCCACCCCTACCGGGTGGCTGACACTTGTACTCAATAAATGTAATTGAGACGGAATGTGTTAAAGCAGGGGCACTGAGGGACACTATAAACTGGTTAAAGATGGCGAATGCATAGTTTTTCTTGTGTTGTGAGATGAATTCCAGCCATTTTTTCTT